TATTCGAGTAAATGATCGAAAATTACTGTCCTATTATTTGTTTTTCTTTTAAGTAATTTTAGCCTACTTTTGCTAAAAGAGAAAATATGGACTATTGATAGTGCCTTGAATGGTACCGCCTTCTTTCATTCATGTTATGGGTATTTTTATACAAAGGTAATTTTTTTGTGCCTGTTGAAAATTAAAGTTTACTGACATAGCCATAAGAAAATGTTGCTTTATTTATCTGACCATATTGGAATGTATTTGTTAGGTTTTCAGTCAATTAAATTTGGTTCAATAAACTATATGTGGTCATTTTTAAAATTTTCAATGAACATTCAATCAGTCCGGCCCTCGGCTTGCAGCAAAATTTTTTATCTGGCCCTCCGTCCATTTGACTTTGACACCCCTGGATTAATGTAGTATTAGTGGTAGTGGTAAGAATAGTAGTACTCAGAGAATGTTTAGAGATCAGCCATCTCGTTACCTCTGCGTCCCGCGTCCTAGACACATAATTTCCCCACGGGACGCACAGTTCCAAATAATGTATGTTTTTGGGACACAAGGAAATTTCTCAGTCTAAACAAACAAACAAACAAACAAAAAAACTACGGCAAGCCTGAGGATTTCACGGTAACAATCGTTACCGGTAGCGTGTCGTTTCCGTGGCGTCATTTTAACGGTACCGAAAAATAGTTTAACTATAAAAGTCACCGCACAAGAGTTGACTGTGTGATCAACGCGATTTCACTGCGCCTGTATGTGTGTTTGTGGTGTGGTGTAGTTTGTGAGTGTGTTTCTTCTAATTTACTTTCGTTTTGTTGTTTTGTTTTCAGTGTTGGGGGGGACGCAACATATAACGTTATGTGCGCATGCGTTGCTATTTTAGTCCGCAAAATGAGGAATCGCGCGGATGAAAGTTTGAGATGGCGGCGAAAAAAACTCACCAAGGTCTACTAAATACGACATTTCAGAAATGGGAATGCCAGTCGAATTTTTCGGATGAATCGTCCAAAGCGCGTATCACTAAACTCACCTGTGACATATGCACAGAACACGAGAGCGAGAGACGACGCTAGGCACGATTACGAGGCAAATTGGTCATTAAATCTATAAGGTAATCGCTGTGAAAAATATTATGAAACAGTATTGGTTATTCTATAATTTACTGGTTGTAGCATGGTAACTTTATGAATAAAACATTCGTCACAAGGTGTAGTAATGCTAATGTTAACTGTTGGTAGAACTAATAAGATAAGATAAGAAAACCTTTATTAGTCTCGCAATGGAGAAATTCCCAATACACAGCAGCAAAGTTATGAAAGGAAGAAGTAGAACAACAAAAT